TCATTTAATATCGAAAAAACGACAGGTCCCTTTTTTTAGAACATCGAATTTTACTTATCGCATAAAAACGTAAAAATGTACTTTACACAGTTCGTGTTTTATATTCTTAAAGTGAAAGATATTTTTGAAAATAGGTGATGCATGTGTCTGGTTTCAAATTATAGTTTATGCAGCCAACATTTACTTGAGGAATTGATAAAGTTTAAAAGGGTATCGTTTTTGTTCGATTTTCATCCGACTATAAGTTTTCAAAATATTCTCGACTATCGTCTCCATCATTTAGACGCATGCCTTTTTCACACATATCGAAGCGGTTTGATGATAAAGACTCATTTCCATTGTTTACTTTATTTATTTCCCGGGCGACAATTGATGGTTACATCAATGTTTTCTTGTTTAACTGATATTTAAATATTTTCCACAGGAATTAATGGTCACTGCAGCTAATTATTCCCCTACCGGTGAAACCGGAGGGGACTATAGGTTTCCTCTGAGTCTGTCTGTCTGTCAGTTTGCCCCACTTGGTTTTCCGCACTTTTTTCTAAACGCTTGCAGATATTGAGCTGATTTTGATATGTGAGAAAATCTTGATGAGTTACAGATGAAGTTTGCATTTTGTTCCGCTTCAATGATTTTTGACGGATTTACGACCTTTTCAATTTTTCACGGTTTTCCGCAATTTTTTTCTAAACGCTTGCAGATATTGAGCTGAGTTTTTTTTTTATTTGACTTTACCTTGATGAGTTATAGATCAAGTTTGCATTCGTTCCGCTTCATTGATTTTTAATGGAATTATGGCATTTTCAATTTTAAACGGGAACCAGATTACACTTGCCGATAGGGAACTAGTATTGCTAATGCAATACTCTCAGAATGCTTGTTTTAGATACGATTGAAGACGAACGGACCCCCACCCCCCTACCCCATTTTCCCACAAATAAAAAAACTTAAGGTACTTACATATCTGGAGAAATTGAAATGTTCTGGAAAAAATGAATGACAACCGAGAATAAATTGGTGACTTCTGTAGAAACAGTTGACATTCAGGAAAGACTGAAACCAAGGCTTCATATGAAGGGTAATAAACCCAACATATTATCTCTTATAAAAGGCACATTAACCGAGCTACGAGTACCAGGACGAAACCCTTAAGGTCTTCTATGAGGAACCGGAAGGGGGGTGAAAGACACAACCAAGATGACCAACCGTAAACAACAAGGCTTGTTCAAAGAACTTTGAGAGGAACAAAGTTACAAGAATGCAAACCATCTGTAAATGTTGAAAGGTCTGCAAGAATAATCAGGGGACTCAAGATCCACCAGGTGTGAAAGAGAAAATTAAGTGGCCACGAATGATCAGCAGTGAATGGGAAAAGTTTGGCGAAGGTATGGACTGGCTTCTTGAAATGACACGTACGAAGAAATTGGAAAGCATAAAAAGAATGATATACTCAGTATTATCAAAGGACAGGACAAGAGTGGAAGGAAACTAATAAGAGGATTGATCATCCAAATAGAAGAAAGACATCCCAAGAAAACCCCGAACACTCTCAAATAAGTAGAGGCAAAGAACTGGTGATGAAAGAGAAAGACTTAAATAACTTAGAATAAACTAAAATAATCGAGGAATGCAGAACATTTGGAACAAATATAAAGCAATCTAACGGAAAAAGAGCAGCATTCATTGTGAATCCATAGAAATTCGCATCAAGTGTGTTTAAGGGGAAGAGATATGTAAAAGAAGTTGGAGCCTACTTGACTTCGAGTACTGCCCAGGCCAACAAACATGATGATCTGACGAATGACAGATAACCCATTAAGCCCGATGCCACCCAACCTTGAACAGATATTATCATCTTGCTAAGTCACCCTTACCCAGTTAAGTATATTTCGAAGTTTGATCGGGTCATTAAAGTATTTGTCCACACGCTAAAGACAGAGCGGTAGAAAGACCATGACCACTCACACCAGCCACGCTTCATCAGTTTTGTCAGAATTGGTGAGCAAGCAACTGAGACAAGCAAACATCGAAGAGTACGGTCTGAGACAGGAAGCTGCTAGTTGAAATGTAGAGGAAGATGATTTTCCCACAAATAGCAGAAACTTCCTAAGGACCTGATATCCGTTATCTGAAGACGTGAAGGAACTGGTGGTGTCAGAACTGAAAAAAAACCCATGGATGACTCGATGTCAGGAGACCCACAAATGAAGGCATACAAAGTTTGACGATCAGGGAAAATGATTGCAGGAATTAAAGCACAACGGCAGACAGAATTTTCTAGTAGATGCTTGGGCACGAGTTCCCTCAGCACTGGTAGTGAGCGAAAAGACGAGAATGAGAGCAATTAGTGCCATGGCATGGCAGAAAAAAAAGGCGTCAAACTGGTTGTGGTTGAAAAGAGAAGACGGTAGCTTGATTGCTTGAAGCCTGACCGTTGAAGGTTTTTTTGGGGGAAGTATTTTTAAAAAGTTAGATGTGTCAGTTTGGCACGAATGTCCTGTTGTCACGCGATTTTCAAAATATTCGAAAGTTCAAGAATATGAAAATCCTTGTATGGAAATGAGATAAAAATAAATTATATTTTGTTTTTTTTTTAATTAGTTGTCAATGCCACAACATACTTTAGTTGCGTAAAAATGGTGATCAACTACAAACATTGAAAAAAAAATCCAGATTATACTGAATGATAAAATTTTCAACATCAAAGGGCAATAACTTTCGTGAAAATAGACATGAGACTTGAATTTGATCATCTTTAAGTCATCAGTATAAACACATGCTAAAAAACAGCTCATTGTCTACAAGACAACAAATAGCCTGGAAAACAGTGAAAAACTAGATATTACTGAGATGGTGACATTTTCAAATGGCCCGCTTTATTGAGAAAAGGATATTAGAATAAAAGAAACTTGTAAACGACTGCATTTGTATTTAGAACTTTGACTTGCACCTTCACCCATGGACACTCTTTGAATGACGTTATAACTAGATGGGGCCAAGGGGATAGAAAATATACACCTAAGGGTTTCACTGTTAAGATCTTGACCTCTGACCTAGAAAATTGATTTAAAATCACTGTAAACCCGTAACCCATGAGTACTTTTTGGTTTAAGTATTAGCCAGAGAGGGCTAAAGGGAAAAGAAATTAATAATAATGATTTGGACAAGGATTTTATACAGATATGTGGTATGACCTTGACCTTTGATCCATAAAACTTGTTGAAATTCCCTACAGACCCTTTACCCACAGGCACTCCATGGTTGAGCTTTGGGCCAAGGGAAAAGAAAATGTGTTCTCGACAAAGATTTATGCAGAAATTTGCTTTGATCTTGATATCTGACCTAGAAACTTGATTCAATGTCACTGCACAGCGTTAACCCATAAACAGATATGTTTAAAGTGAGATTAAAATTTGATGCACCTTGACCCGTTTCTGAAAATCAAGGTCAAATTAAAGAAAAAATGTTAAGTCCATAACTTGAGATTTCTTTGTCATTTAGACTTTAAACTTTGAACATGTAAATATGAGAATAAGATGAGATGCAATGGACTAAATTATTTGACCTTGACCCATTTGGTAAGTTAAAAAACATCCAGACGATGACTGAGGACCTCTTGACATGAAAACAGATCGAGATGCACTTCAATAAAATATTTGACCCTATCCTACTCAAGCATGCTAGAAGATCGCGGCGAGATACTTTTGACTTGGCGCCGAGGTATATAATTAACCGACGCTTGTAGGAGTAACCCTGACCCATGCATTTCTTTAAAAGTCAAATGAGAAAAAGTATGGCATACCTTAGAACTCTTTGACATTTGAACTTCGGACTGAAAACATGAGAAGATAAAATTAGGATGAGATTCACTGTATATTTTTTTTTTTTACCTTGACCGTTGTCTAAATTCAAGGTTACATTATAAAACTAAAAAAAAAACTGAAAAACTCTTTGACATATTGACTTCAAAGATGCAACATTAAATGATGACAAGAGAGGATGCACTGCACCGAGTTAAAACTTTATATACATTGTAGCTATTTTTAGCAGTATGCAATACGGAGAAAACCAAAATTTAGACTTGCCCTTGGTATTACCTACATCACACTCTTCCAATTATTAGTTCTGCTAGTTAAGGGGACACATTTCTTTAAATACCCAATAATTCTGTACTGGATTTAGAGTGGGTTTTTTTTTTCATTTTACACAGAAAACATCAGTTTACTCGAGTCTTTCTCAGCATTTTTTTTTTTGTCATAAACTCGATCTAAAACCAGTGTTTTTATAACTGGTAAGTGACAAAGGATATTTCCAAGATAGAAATGATACATTTGCGATTAATTCTTGTGTGACTTTTTAAAACTGGTATGAAAAAAAAAATCATCAATAGTGACCAATTTTTTCCCATCAAATCTATGCTGGCCCAGATTTAATCAATGTTATTACAATGTTATTATATTCTACTAAGATATCTGTAATAGGATTGATAAAGCTTCATTGTGATGCACAAGTTGTTTTTGTGATAATTTTTTTTTTCTAAATTATCTATTGCGTATTTTTACTTTATTCCAAAACACGCATGAATGTCCTACTGTTATAAATTATCATTCTTAGAATCCACACCTTAGAACCTGGGCAGGCTATTTCTCACCCTACCCTGATTACAATTTTTTTTTGGTCAGGGCTTGATATGTAATTAAATCAAACAGTTTCTGCCATTCAAAAATATATATTCTTGTATGACATTTAATTCATTTATGAACAAATATAATTATATATGTACAAATACATGTACAAATGTTTTTCTTAATATTTACATTTTCTCTGGGAGAACAGTTACGTTGACTGTAAATCATTATTTTGTGATGAATGTGACGATAGAAACGCATGTTTGATATATGTGGAATGCTGTCTTATCTTGTTCTCTTTCATGCTTGCACTAATATCACACTGGATATGTCATTTTAAAAATCTACATTTTTATCTCTTCTTTTATAATCCTAATACGATTCGTTTCTGCCTTCAAGTAGATTGAATTCTGCAGTAATAACATTCCCTGTGGCTACACTTTTTGCTACGACTCGAATTTCCGTTCCTCCAAATATTAACTGTACGGACACTTCACGCGCTTTGGATGTCTTGCCATCAGGGATTTTAACTGTTACCGTCCCGAGATGCTGACAGCCCGGATCGGTGACATATTTTGGGGGATTGTCCAACTCTGATATGTATATCTCTAAATCGATTTCTGTTTGGTCATCACGATTAGGCTCGTAAGTTCGTTTTAATTGTGCATCATCAATAAAAAGAGTAGCACCTTTCTTGACATGTACGTGGAATATATCGCTACAATAATCTTTACCATGAATGTTAACTTTCTTTTCTTTTTCGTGGATTTTGGGGTCAAATAATTGAAAAGAAGCGACGCCATATGCATACTTGGCAATTCTTGCGGATATTATGCGAGGATTGTGGCCAAACAATACAGCGCCTTTCAAAACTGCTAAACCAGCGTCAATTGGAACTACAACTCGATACTCAGGTAAAGGAAAAACATGACGAAGACGGGCTTGCAATATTGGCGATTCGGAAAACCCACCGACCATCAATATTGTGCTTGTGCCTTTCACCTTAGGTCGCTGAAGTATGTCACTGACATGATCAATAATACCTGCGCATGCAGGTTGGAAATAACTGTCAAATAATGCCTGTGTGATTCGTAGTTTGTCTCCTTCCCATTTCATACTTTTTCCATACTTAGAGTTTTTAGTTATCTCAATTATGTTTGCATTTTCATGTTCTTCAAACCATTCAGAGAATGTTGCTGGAATTTTCATAGTAACTTTTGATTGAGGAACATTTGTTTTTTTCCTCTTCTTCATTTCAAAGTCTCGAAGAAGTTCAATGTAATCACCAGTAAATTTAAGACAATATTCCTCCACGTATAACTCCCCCACGACATCCATAAGAGTTTGTTTGAATGTCATATCTACACAAGTCCCTCCCCAGTCACCTCCGCTAGCCTTCTCTAGTTCCTCTAAGGAGCCATCATTTCTGACTTTGTGGACCGTTATGTCTACTGTTCCTCCTGAAAACATTTTGGAAATTTTCAAACATCAAGAAAAAAATTGGGACATGGAAAATACCTATGGTTGAAATGAAAATGGGAAATGAAGTTTATTGAACTAGCAAAGAAAATTTTGCTATGGTCAACGTTTTCCTTGAAATTTTAATTTCCCATCTACAATCTTCAAATTAATGTAATCATAAATGAATGATTTTAATAGCTTGTTTTTTTTTTATTTGTAAAAGAAAATTTTGAAACATAAAAAAAACCCTTATATGTTTTTTCCAGGAGTTAGAATTAACCTTTTTTTCAATTTTATTATTATTTATAATGCAAGTACTGATAAATTTTACCTCCTGCATCAAGTACTAGGTATTTGCTGCCTGGTTTGAAAACACCAATATCATTACTCCCTTCCAGTTTCGTCAGTGGCAGAAGCCTGCAATAAATGGATGCTGCTTCTGGTTCCAAAGCCAGGATAAGTCTTGTTCTCGGAATCCCAGCCTTGTAAAAGTCATAAGAATGAGAAATTTAATAGATTCATCCAAAGCATTTCTAAAGAAAGATGTTACAGCCATTAAGATGTTACCTTTTCGGCGGCTTTACTCATAAACTGTTTGGCTGGATCTGACCACATGGCAGGTACAGTCAACACCCAATTGATCTCTGACTCTCTTACGCCTAACCCTTTCCTTCTTGCAGTATCCAGCATGTGTTTCTTCAAGAATTCTATCGAATGACTAAATATATCCATTGCCAGTATTTCCTTCTTTTCTGTAATGTCCTTGATTTTTGTTTCCATTGTCAATCTCTGTTAAATTAATTATAAAAGAAATGCTTAAAAGAAATAACAATATGTTAAGTTTAAATCGAAAATGAGATGATTATTTCAGATATTTTGTAAAAAGATTTGATGCCATGAAAAAAAAGGTTTGATACTCCATTCTTGATGTGCATGATTAGGTCATTGCACATTGACAATCTGATGGAGAACCGTTACCTCTTTTCTCAGTTTGTTGTATAACACCATTTTGAATCGTCTGAAATAGTAATAATCCAGATGTTCATCCTCTTCTGCTAGCTCGGCATATTTTGATTCTGCTTCGTATCCAAACGCCACAAAATTTTGATCACCGTCCATCAGAAGTGTAGTTGGGGTCTTTTCAGAAATTTGTATACTTGATGGGGCCTTCCAATCTGGTAGTGATATTTTTAACGGATCATCTTCAAAATCGGTTTTCATGGAGTAAGCGTATCCCGAGAAGGTTGTGCCAAAATCAATGGCACAAACCAATAAGCCGTCATTTGATGATATTGACATATTGTTTCGTAGAGCTATTAGTTTATAATTGAATCTGAAAGTATACACACAAAATTTGGATATAATCAATAAAAAAAATCTGTCATTTTTTGCTACACATGTAGTATTCTTTATATGATAAACAATTTATAGTTAACCAGATGTGTTATACATATAGATGTATTTATTATATCTTAATAATAAGTCTTTAACTAAAATATTTGATGACTTTGAAATGAGTTACCTTTTAAAATAACATTTGTCAAAAATCAAACCGAAAGTTACCTTTTCCGGTTTTAAGTGCGCATTATCCTGATTACACCTGAGTTTCTTGATAAGACCAATGCATACCTTTATGCACTGTTCGACATCATTTAAATATCAATAATAACATGGTGTTTAAAAGTCCCGTTTTAGGTTATCTTATTATTCTATTCTTAGTCAATTCTTTTTTATTGACAATAAGTCGTATATTTCATTTGCTCGCCTAATCAAACTGAATACACATAGTAGTGTATGTACAATGAGGGGATTTGAAACTCAGAAAGGATACTTTTTTCTGGAATAAATCACAAGGTTTGTCTCGTTAAAAAAGGAAAATAGGCTTATAGTATATTGCAATTGATTAATTCATCAATAACATTATTTAAAAAAAATTCTGTCCATTTTTTTGCCCATGTAGCATTGGCCTAATGTTTATTATTAGATAACGGCCAATTTCAACCTCTACAAATATTTTTGAGGTTGCAAATGCAACGTCAGACCTGATTATATTCCAGACTTTTCTCTTCCTAGCACGGACATAATTCATTGGCTCAAATCTGTGTAGCAGAAACATATATAATTATAATATAATTGTTGTGGACTATTGATTGAAATTTCCATTTAAGAAAAAAAAGAAGACAATATCAATTAAATTTGATTATTTGAATTTTTATATTTGAAATTTAACTTTCAGTACATTTAACCTAGCTTTACTTTACCAGTATCATCGTCGAAAACCGGGGGGGGGGGGGGGGTCCATTTTATTTCCAGAAATATGAAAATAGAAGAGACACAAAAAGACGTGGCTTGCGAAGATGTTCTAATATATGATATCACAGGTACGTGAAGGTAACTGTAACTGGGTAATTGCACTAGAAGTGTTTCCGGAACTTTGAATTGAATGTATCGAAATTGTACAGAATGCTGTAAAAACCTTTGCAGGGTGAATGGAATAGGATCCTGTCTGTTTTATCTTACATATTTATTTAGTGTATTGTCATTACTGTTGACAATAATTGATTTTCAGGGATTAATTGTCTGATTGCGAGAGGGAGGAGTGATGTAGATAATCCATTTTTGTGTCGCCTGCAGAGCAGAGTGACACTTAGGGATCACTTCACCCGACGTCTGTGTCTAGCTGTGCGTCCGTACATCTTGAGAACTGTAAGAAATATGGACTTGATATTTTGCAAATATATTGCTTAGCACTTTGGCTTTTGTGAAATACCATGGTTACCGATCTCGTGACCTTTGAACTTAACACTTGACCCACTTTTTCAGAGTAGTTCATTGTGTCGATCTACAGCATATTTTTGACATTTAAGAAACTTGTACATTTATGCTATTCAGCATGCGCACTGTTTGACATAAAACATCTTGAAAATTACCAGCGTTACAATCCACTTGACCTGCTTTGCAAAAGTTCTCCGGACGGTTTCTCTGGATTTATTATTTTTTGTCCCCTAAAATTTCATTTTTGATCCACAAGGGGTCATTTTTCGACGTCGAATAATGACCGGGGGTCATTTTTTGTCGTTGAATAATGACCGGGTTTCACTATTTGACAGCGAAAATGACCCCGGTCATTATATTCTATGAGGGTCATTATTCGTCTTTACACCAGCAAATTGAATGTATGATAATTTGTCGGCACGGCCAGGTGTGTTAATTATAGGACCGACGACATCCATAACTAAGAATTCAATGCTTATATTTACATTCTCTAATTTTCTCTCTTCATAATTGTTAATTTCGTTAATCTTTAATATGAATTTAGCGCCTTTCAGAACTGGTGTGCTTAATAGACGTAAGAGCCGTTTGTGACGTTGGAAAGTTAAATAACCCAAATGAACATTGCGAGAGAAAAAAAATGACAAAATAATTTCAAACGCACAGTTGTTGTATTTTACGTTAATTTAACAGGGAAGTTGTTTTTTTTTAATTAAATTGAGTCAAAATAATATAAATTTTTTTGTTCCTAGATATTGAAAATGCCTATAGTTCCTACTGTGTATTCTACCGGCGCGGTGACAAGATTATTTGCTCTTAATTTGAAATTTCTTATCTTCCCATGAATACATTAATTTCGTTAAATCAAGATTTTTGTCATCTTTTATAAGTGTGGCATAATTTATTTTATATAAAATTTTTATTATTCATTTAACTAAGCATTGTTTTTTTTTTTTTTTTTTTTTTTTTTTTTTGGATGTCGTCGGTCCTATAACTACGATGGCCGATATCAGCCAATACATATTCCGACTGCTATTGAAATTCGTACATTTAAAATGTACATTGACATGTACATTTTTCACTGACAGTGCACACTTGGTGCTCTTTTTTTCAGCACATGTACAAAATGGCAAAACGGCAAATGTCAAAATGTGAACGTTTGAAACACATATTCTTTTAATTAAAATTCCTGGTTGGTGAAAACCATTAAATATGAATAAAACTGTACAAGACACTGGGAAGGGTTTTGCAGTAAAAAAAAAAAAAGGCTGAAAAATATTAAAAGAAAATGTTAAAAATTTCTGTCCACCTGTAAGTTAAAAGTAATCGATCTTCTTTTAAAAACAATAAAAATTTCTTTGATTAAAATTGTCTTCTACAAACATTTCTTTGCACATCCATATCAATAAACTGTCCCCACCCACCCGAGAAAATGATGACGACTAGTATATGGAAATCTATACTTATAAATTAATAAATTTTGCAAATAAACTCCGAAACGGGTGCACCAGAGTTCTTACTTACTCATCTAACAATACATTAGATGCAAGATGATGTCCGTAAACTATATTTAGATTTCACTCGCATTGTAAGAATTGTACATTAAATTAAAAGTCTACTTTTATTTTCTATAAACAGCCATGAAATAGCAAAAACTTGAGTACGGTGGCGTTTCCGGTTGGCGGATCTAAGTTACTGGCAATTTTTAATGAAACTGACAACAAGCAATCGTTATTTATTTCATAAAACGTCATCACTGAATTATTCAATCAAAACTTGATTTAAATTATATAAAAGAAATAAGTTGTGATAACCGATTAAAAAGGGAAATATGCAAATTATTTTCGTCATTCACTGATCTTAATATTGATGGAAGCTTCTAGAACATCATACAGCATCGAGCCCGATGTTAAAAAAAACAGAGGCGCTTATAGCTGCATAACATAAAAAACTTTTCTGTGATTGGTCATTGAAATCATGGTAAATCATTGATAACACTATAAATTGTGAATATATTTATATATCGAAAGACCATTACATATATATACATGTATGTAGTAGGTTTTCCTAATAAATTTATCGGTAAAATTTGTATATATTCCTTACTTAGAGCGTCGTGGCAACGAACCCGAAGTACAATTTGTACTTCGTAATAAACTTGCTTACATGTAAAGAGAAAATTAATGAATAAGGTATTGTTCAAAAACAATTAAAGATGTAAAATTTTGTGCTTTAATTAAAACATTTCATTTTTTTTTTTTTTTTTTTTTTTTTTTGAAAACAGTCTTTTGTATCAAATACTCGGCCTATTCATAGGGCATTAAAAGCTAATTTTACACAGATACTTGAGTCTTGGTTTATAAATATGTACGTACCTTATTGATATGTAAAAAAGTATAGTACATTATTTACATATCAGTAAGGTACAAACATATTTATAAACCAAGACCCAAGAACCTGTGAATTTTGACCCCCCCCCCCCCCAAATCAATTTATCAGTAAAATGTGCAGATTCAGTGCTTTTATCCTTGACGGAAATGAAATAAGAGCATCTGAAGTACAATATCCATAACGTAGTATAACAGGTTTCACAATAAACGTCAAGTTTTTACAAAGGGGGGTGGGGTGGGGGTGGAGACGTACATTTACTTCTAGCGAGATTTAGCCTGTAGGCTGTCAGTAGAAACTACAAAATATTTTCTGTCGGTAGTAGTATAGATTCAATTCCCCGCGCTTGTGCGGGATTTCATCTAGTACATATATACATGCACTCCTTTTTTTATCAAAAGTAAAAGAAAGCTGAAAGGGCCACTGGTTTCCATATAAGTCAGAGACGTGCCAAAATATTATATAAGATTAAATTGACCTTTGAAGTTAAAAAAATCAATATTATCTTGGAAGTTCATTTACATAGTAATTTACATAGTCATTTACATAGCAATTTTAAAATGATTATTTGTTTTCATTGATGTGTTTATTACAACGTTCACATTTTATAGAAAATCATTCATATTATAAATAAGTATACGTATATACGCAATAACATTTTTCGTGTTAAGAGTACTTCTATCAGATCATTCCAACTGTGTAAAATTACCATGGAATTAGAACTCTTCAGTGAGCAGTGTTTGGAGTTTTCTTTTAAATCGAAGGCTTAGAACATTTTCCTCTAATATTTATCAGTCTGTTTTTTTTATTATCCAACTCTTTCCAGTGCAATTGTACAATTTTATTTATATTTAATGGTCTTCGCCGATCGATCAGGAATTTTAATTAAAAGAATATGTGTTTTATACCTCTACTTTTTGACATTTGCCTTTTTGCCATTTTGTACATGTACAGACAAAAGTTAAGAGCACGACGTGTGCACTGTCAGTGCAAAATGTACATGTCAATGTACATTTTAAAAGTACAAATTTCAATAGTAGTCGGAATATGTACAGGCTGATATCGGCCATCGTATGTAACAGACCTGGCCGTGCCGACAAATTGAATACTGCGCTATGATAATTTGTCGGCACAGCCATGCAGGTGTGTTATAGGACCGACGACACCCAAAACTAAGAATTCAATGCTTATATTTACATTCTCTAAATTTCTCTTTTCATAATTGTTAATTTCGTTGATCTTAATTTTGAATTTAGTGCCTTTCAGAACTGGTGTGTTTATAGACGTAAGAGCCGTTTTGACATTGGAAAGTTAAATAATGCAAATGAACATTGCGAGGGGGGAAAATGGCAAATTAATATTAAAGGCACAGTTGTTGTAGGAAGTTGTTTTTTTTTTATTAAATTGAATCAAAACAATATACATTTTGATGTTCCTAGAGTATCGAAAATGCATATAGTTCCTATTGTGTATTCTACCGCGCGGTGACAAGGTTTCGCGTGTGTTATAGAGATTTGAACTTAGTGGATTTCTAATGCACTTCATAAAGAAAATTACACTGAATGCATAACACGGACAGGGAAGGTTAAAGTTTGCGTTTTACTTTTACGTCACAAGGGTTGAACGTTGTGGAAGTGCAACGTCATGAGCGAAAATCAAAATTCACGCTCACAATGAACAGAAGCTATTACAACGGCTCTTCCATTAGTTGTAACTTACCCGAATGATAATACAGGGATTTTAAAATATAAATCACATTTGCAGTCAAGGCAAGGAGTTAAAAAATGTAAATATAAGCATTGAATCATTACTTTTTGAAAGACAGTCTCATAACTGCAACGGTGTATGCAAAAACATTTTCATAACGCGCTTACGCGCGTTACTCAATTTGTTTGCACACACTTTGCAGATATGAGACTATATCTTTCAAAAAAATAATGATTCAATGCTTATATATATATATATATATATATATATATATATATATATATATATATATATATATATATATATATATATATATATATATATATATATATAATCTCTATATAGTCTTTACTAAAGCAAACAGTTCATAATACAATTTACTACATATTTACTGAATTTAAAGCCACATTCACCGGAGGGTCAGTGGGCGTGTAGCGGAATTGTGATGTCATAATCAATACTTAAATAACGTTGAATACCATTGGTTGCAACGGCCGAAGCCAGCTGTGTATCCGAGCTAGAAAAATGTTAGGCAGGTCTATCTCGGGATTATTTTCCGAACATTTCGATGTCTTACACAGCGAAAGAAAAACAAGCTATAGGTCGTAATCTGGACTTTTTTTAAAAAAAAAATTCTAGGAAAGATGTAGAAGTCCGTTAATGAAAATAGTATCGTCATGCAGCCTTCAATATCTTACTTATTCAGATCCTGACTATATAATAAAACAATTAAGGACTCCTTCGGTGGTTAATATGGTTTGTTATTCACCAGAAAAATATCAATATTGACCTCGGTGAGTATTAATATTTTTCTCGAGAATAACAAACCATATTCACCACCGAAAGACTCCATAATTGTATAATATGCTCTACATTAACCACACAAATTGATATTTAAATACTTTGAACATACATCAGGATCGATTGATCGTGTAGACTGACAATTTGCAGGTTTGTTGGATTAAACATATAATAAAATGATAATATACAGTTATGGAATGGGTATGAGGGAAATAGCAAATTTATGGTTCCCCGAGGGAGGAAACTATTTCCCGAGGAGGCGAAGCCGCCGAGGGAAATAGTTTCCTGCCGAGGGGAACCATAAATTTGATATTTCCCGAGTACCCATTCCATAACTGTTTTATTATACCGAAACAAACAAAGGAGATTTATTAACTATAGAGACTTAGACATTTAATATAGAGACTTAGACATTTAATATAGAGGCATTTATATAAATAATCAAAAATGCGCGTGATTCCAATTTTGTTAAATATGTAATGCATCAATACGGAAAAAATTAAATTATTTAAAAAATGATAATTTCACAAACATTTCGAAGGATTATCGTTGCCCTCTTTTTGCTTAGAAATTCCAGTATGATTTTGACATAGCTTGTCGAAATGTTTTGACGTCATAGTTACATTGCTATAGCTAATAACATTACGTCACGGACTCGAGATTCCTTGAACGCTCCGCCCACAGTTCATTTTAATTGGTTAAAATTAATAATAAATATTCATGAGGGAGTAGTCCCAGGGAGTAGCTCCTATTTTTCAGGGAGTAGTCCTCAGATGGGGGAAATAGTATCTTCTGGGGGAAATAGTCAGTTTTATGGTATTAATTTTATATAGAGTAATAACAGTAGAGGTATAATAAATAGTTATATCTTATGATTTCAACTTCATTATTTATTTTAGCTTTGAGGAATGCGGAATCATATTTCTGATTCTATCAGTCTTATTATTTTTTTTTTTTATTTTTGGCAGGTAAATGCATGAATTATAATGCTGGTAACAAATATATAGCGTCCCAGTAATTACTGAGATTTTCTTGTAAAATGTCTTTTTTTCAAAATATTTTAAAAATAAAATAATCTATTGTTTGAAATCAATTTTTAATCAAAAGACAATACTTGCTACTTCCTTATGTTATATGCAGGTAATTCATAAGTACCAGTACTTGGACAATCACCTGAAAGGTAGTTCATAACATTTCAAATACAGAATTTTAATTATTTCAGAAATATTTAACAATACATTATATTAATTTAAATTGTATATACATTATTCCATGAAATATTGGCCTCAGACTTTTCAAGCACGTTCACTGTATTTCAGTCATTGGTTAAATAAAAAATTGCAAGTATAAGAAATGTCAACGTTCTTATATCAAGGTTCATCTTGAAGAAAATCAAAATCTGCATGAGCAGTTTCATTGGTTTGAACATTCCGTGCAGAAACGGTTAGTTCAGTTCCTCCGAATTTCAATCGAGCTGTGAATTCTCGATCCAACCCCCCTTTGGTGTTTGATATATCCATAGTTAATGTTCCGAGATAAGTGCATCCAGGTTCGTCTGTGTATTGAGGTTTTTTAGCTTCAGTGGTGTACAGAGGAAATGATATTGCTTTTTGGTTAACAGATATTGGGAAGTACTTGTGTTCTCCCTGCTCTTCATTGAGGTACAAAACATCCCCTGCCTCAACATGTTTACTGAAAATGTTGCTACATCTTTCTTTACCTTCAATAACCATTTTTCTTTTAAGATCGTGTTTTTGAGGATCAAAAAGTTCTGTACATCCTATCCCATACGTGAACTTTGCTATTCTGGAAGCAACAGCGCTTGGATCATGTCCATACAGCACAGCTCCTTTCAAGACTGCAAGACCTGCTTCATGTGGAATCACCACTCGGCAATCAGGGAACGCATCTTTTACAGCTTGCTGAACTATTGCCGACTCAGAAAAACCACCCACCATTAAGATAACATTTGTTCCTTTCACTTTAGGATCCGCTAAGAGTTTCTTTACATGTTTAACAATTCCTTCACAAGAAGGTTTGAAAAATCCATCAAAGATGTCCTTATTTATTCGTAATTTGTCTCCTTCCCATTTCAGTAATTTTCCATATGTTGTTTCTTTGGTTCTCTTTGAAATGTCGTTCTTTTCTATTTCTTCATATTTATCCGAAAAGGTGGCTGGGATTTTCATCGTGATTTTCTTGGTTTGGGACTTTTCATCCACCTTCTGTCTTTTCTTTAATTCAAAATCTCTGAACAATTCAATATACTCTGCTGTATTTGAATGGCAATAACTTTCCATGAATCCTTCTCCTACAATATCTACCAGCATCTGTTTGAAGGTCATGTCCACTTTTACTCCACCCCAGTTTCCTCCGCTAGCTCTGCTTAATTCGTGCAATTTACCCCCCGATTTCACTTCATGGACAGTCATATCAATAGTTCCTCCTATGGAATTAGGAAAAATAATATTTCTGTAATAAAAATGTTCCTTGTTCTTTGTTACTATTAGTTTTCAGTGAAAGTGTAGAGACTTACCTCCTGCATCCAAAACAAGATATTTTTTTCCTGGAGAAAACACCCCAATTCCACTCTCTGTTCCGCTGAGCTTCTCCACTGGCAATTCCTTACAGTAGATAGATGCTGCCTCTGGTTCTAACGCAATTACTAGTGATTTGCTTTCAATTCCTGCCTACAAATTAAATTATAAAATATTTCAGTATCAATATTATTAAATATGTGTTTTCTAATTATTTTAACATTCACAGACTAAAATCTTAGAGAATTTGAATCCAGTTAATTATAGTGTGTTAAGCAACAGTCAGCAAAAACCGAATGACACTGTAAAGAATCGAGATTTTTCTCACTTTTTCTGCTGCTTTCCTCATGAACTGTTTGGCTGGGTCATCCCAGATGGCAGGGACAGTTAGTACCCATGTGATATTACATTCCTTTACGATGACAGAGGTATCCTTAGACTCTATTTCCATGATCAGGTGATCCTTAAGATACCTAATGGCGTGAGCAAAAACCTCAACTGCTGGAAGTTCTCTCCCTTTAATGTCTGAAACCTTTGTCTCTGTAGTCAATCTCTAAAAAGAAAAGAAAACAAGTTTACTCTTTGAATGAATTCTCTCTAAAGAAAAGCAGCCACATAAACAGCATTTTATTTCCTTAACAATTTTGAAATATAAAGATTGAAAGAAATGTTGCTCTTCGTTCACACCAGAATACAATGTATACCTCTTTCCTAACTTTGTCATACAACATCATTTTGAATCTTCTGAAGTAATAATAATTGTTTGCTTCCTGCTTCTTTTCTTCAGTAAGTTCCAGGTATTTTGTCTCTGCTTCGTAACCAAAGGCTACGAAGTTCTTTTTTCCGTCCAGAAGTACAGTGGTGGGGGTTTTGTGGGATATGAGGTCAGTAGACGGGGCATTCCAGTGGGGACATTGTATTTTCTTTGGATTATCCCTCATGGAAAAAGCATATCCTGAAAATGTAGTGCCGAAATCGATCGCTGCCACCATCAACATATTGTCATTTTTGGACCCAATAACAGGGCGGTTGTTCTCTTCTTTGACAACAGGTCTGTTGCTTTCTCTGGGTGACACCACTGGTCTGTTGCTTTCTCTCTGTTGTATTACTGGTCGGTTCGACATTCTGTTACTATTCCTGTACTTTTACCTCTATCGTTGACAATAGTGTTCTTCACATCTAAAACGGAGCAACAAGGTTTTGACAAGAGCAGTGTTTGTGGGGGTTGTCATTTTTCTAACTATTTGTACTTTCGATTTATAAGTAGCCTTATCAATTGAAATATGAAAAACATTTTTAAGAAAAAACTTAACTGTAAAACACCTTTTAAATGAAAAAAATGGTTGTGTGATGTACCTTTGCGTAAGTTAAAAATAAGGTCTATTAAAATGCCATGATTTACACATATACTTATTATACTTTCGTTTTGAAAATACTTTTTAAACTAAACCAAAAATAAAATAATACCTGAATGATTCTGTTATCTTTATACTTGTATATCAATAATAAACATTTATAAGGATTTTAATACTTACGACAGGGTTATTATTATTTGTTTGAAATTCAACCATTTTAGAGATTATCACACCTGAAGGGACCACATATCTGCTAAAAATAGCGAGGCAATGACTATCTAACTAGGGTAACATTTAAAATGCATGCACACTGATTATACGTGCACGGGGCACTTGTTTATAGTGTGTAAATTGTAATTGAAGCATTGCTGCTTAACAGAGGTATAATTCCAGGCATTTGTGTAAGATAGCAGAGGATGGTCTATTGTCTATAATTTTATAGGATATTTATGGCACGCCAAATTCACCAAAATAGAAAAACATACTTTAAAGATTGATTAAGTATGTTTATCGATTGTAAACCATAGTTTGTAAATCGTAAACAACTAAGTATTTAAATTTAATGTTTCATTAAATATAGATTTCTTCTGATAAACTACTATAATTTTATATTATATTAAGCGTGTACGATATTTGGCAAAAATTGATTTTAGCAGAAGACTAGTGCTTTACGCCAAAGGCGCTAAAAGAAAACATGTAGCCAAAATTACACGAGTAATACGTCTACAGTATATTTAACATGCAGTTGTCAACAATATAGTTTACAAATGCTGATAAATGTTTAAATTTATCTTTGTGTGAATAGTGTTTGCTGATATTAAACTCTTATGGTGGAAACTCATTTGTAAACTAAAATTTACATTCGTTAACCATGGTTAATCATAGTTTCACAAATCGTGAATCTATCTTTATTACATGAAGATAAACTATGTTTCACCTTCGTCAATTATAGATTTCAGTCGTAATTACTAGTAATTGAACATACACGATAGTTTTCAATTCAAAATCTTGCGGAACTACCGGTAGATGCCAGGTAAGAAAAATATTTTATCTGGCGGCCGCTAAATAATTTTCTGGCAGCCGCCACACAAGTTTCTATTGTTGAAGATGTACCTGCTCGTCTTTATTTTAAAATGTTTAAAACATTTCCTCTCGTATTCATTAATTTGATTTTTTACACAAAAAAGTATGAAAAAGAGCAGTATGAAAATACACAAACTTATCTATCATAAAGAAAGTAGCTTTTATCTAATGGATGGACACATACCAGTCAATCTCACTCAGATTTATTTTCTTAATTTCAATAAATCACATTAAAAACTAGTTAATAAATGAACTGTAAGTATTAATATTACTATTCAATGATTGTTTACGTGATGTTTTACTAAATGTGAATACCTTATGTTTTACTTCAAATGTGTATACTAATTTCTCACTTCAAGCAAAAACACAATGAAAGAGTCTGGCTTTCGTGTATTTCAGTTGCCTTGCAACTACTACGGATGATTTCTTTACTTACAGCTAAATATTTACGATGAAATCTGTGTCAGCATCAACAAAAACAAACAAAGATTTGTCATCTGCAAACAGTCTACATAATTTGATTTTGTATGTTAAATTTTCAGTATCATTTATGCAATACATGTTGTTCAGATATTATTTTGTTCCAAATATTTCTACTGCTTTCTTTCCTGGATTAAAGAGCACAACACAATATTTGTGTGAAATATTGATTGAAAATGACAATGAGTATTAACAATACAATAAATGAGGAGATCCCCCCCCCCCCCCAAAAAAAAAATCTTATGCAAATATTCTTTACATAACAAAGTAAAGTTGTATAATGATCTCCCCTGTTACATGCCAAAATAATATAAGAAATAACAGAACGAATTGTAAAACATATATACAGTACAAGCAAAAAGTTGGCATTCAAAAATTAAAAAAAGATGCCCACAAAAAGCAAACAAGTTTGCAAAACGCCAACCAAAGTCGATTAACCATATAAGATAGTCAACACAAAATGCAGAAGTTATCCACAGGACATTTTGTCGGGAATTGTACAAATATAAACCATCACTATTTTGAAACATACTAATAACAGCTCTAAGGATATATAGCATTACTAAATCTTGTAGTTCATGAACAAAATCAATAAGAAACAAATCATATCCTTCATATTGTAATAAAGTAGTGAATAACAGCCATTGATGTAAATTTTTTGGTAACTAGATATATACAACGTTACTTTTTGAACCATAAAATTGCACAATTTATTGTAAAAACATTTGAGAACCAGCAGGCACAGGTGGAAAAATTGGAGGCTAGATGCCACATGGCACAGCAAATTGTTACATACAAGGCAAGATACAAATACGTATTAATAAGTCATCCTGCAAAAGATAAACTTCACTACATATCTATATGAAAAAACTTTACCACACAGCAATTTACTTCTGACTGTATATAATTTAAGCTACACAGCAGTTTACTTCTGACCTGTGCACTTATGACCAGGATAAATGGTGTATAATCCATCGGCAGTTTACTTCTGACCTGTTGGATTAAACTGACACTACAAAAGACCCCCCACCCCCCACCCCACCCCCACCCCACTTAAGAGTTCTTTAAGTACAGCAGTTAACATCTGATCTGTACTTTACTTTTTGTACAAAAATTATACACTGAACCATGTTGAAAAATTTTATATTTCAAAACTTTTAAGGCGAATGTATCTACGAATAGCAACTGAGTTAATTCCATCGACACATCTTTGTCTGACAGTACTAAGTCTCGTTTTGTTTGTTATGGAAGTAGTATAGAGTACTGAATAGTACTGTGTGTTACCCGATTGGCTGAATTTAGGTATGTAATTATTTTCATTTTAAAGTAGATATATTAATGTTTGAAATAAATGATGGAATGTAGAAATATTACAGAAAATATAGAAATACCAGGGGAGATTGTAGGAGTGGGGGTTGATATTTTTTGCAGAGTGTCATTTTCTGCCGATCGCTATAAGTTGTAAACAACTGCAATTTTGACCTATAAACGCCATGGGATCCTGTATTTTTTCAGGCTTTTTTATGAGCGCTTAGAATAAAGTTTCAAATGGTGCCAAGGATTTGTCTGAAATTGAATTAGTAGAGTACTGAGAGGGCAAAAAAGGTTTGTATAGAGTTCTATGGGAAAATAATTAGTACTCTTTTCCCTATATTAGATTTAACCAAGGCTTGTTGGTCAAGTCGTTCAATAGAATTCTTGTGATAACTTGATCTTGGAAACTGAATTGAGGAGTAAAGAAAACATGCTTCACACCCAAACAAGCTGAGATTTTATTATCACATTATACATTACAGGTTACATAACATTCGGCCATTCTCAAATGCATCAATCATATTCAGCCACAGGGACTTGAGACATCCTAGCAAAATCGGATGTATAGTATAATGGGGGAGAAGGGACCTAACGAACCGCCATTAATTCCTCGGTGCCTCGCTTCAAACTCAAAAAACTTCGATCGTCCGTCTCGAGAGATCAGCTCCATTTTCACCTTCGATTAGCCTCGGAGTTCAATTGGGTCAGTCATAATTGATTCCGTAAACAACTAGTAATATTATCCAATCGTCTTTCACCGTTTAAACTTTAGTCATTCAGGGCGGATTTTATTCAATATGGTTGACCCGATTGAACCACTACGCTACGAGGTCTAATTATTAAAAAAGAGTTTGTTGAAGCGTATAATTTTTTTTCAGAAATACTCGATTTTCATATATAAATGGGTTCACACTCCTTTTTTTTTTTTTTTTTGAAATATGAAATAGATTTTACAATTATTTTGATGTCATTTAAACGTTAATGAAGTGTAACTAGAGGTAGAACTCTTCGTAGATAAATTAACAAAGTTACTAGCCATTTTGACTCAAAGTGGTAAAATATCTCCATTAATTTATGATTATCAACCCCAGATATAGGGATTTCTGAACTATGATAAACTCTTAAAGAAAACACTGATGTACGTTTTATAAATTTAATAAAGTGAGAATTAACCTTTGTAAATGATAACAAATAACAAATAATACTGGTAATCAAAATTAAAGAGTACAATCTCGAAGAAAAAAATGTCAAAAATATAATTTAATTTGGCAAGCGAATAACAATAATCTCAATGAATAAATAAGAAGTTTATGAAAAATTTGATAGAAATGGTAGGAATGTGGAAGACCTATGAAAAATAATCGATATCCCTACTGGGCCACCATACTTATAAAAATGGTCAAAATTCCTGCTCTATGAATAAACACTTAGAGTCTACTACAAGTAATAGCTTTTCAAAAAGCTTGCCTGACTAATCAATCAATATCTATGGAACGTATATGCAGGAGAGGTGCTAAACGTTTCCGTCATCAAGGAGCGACATAGTTGCAATACATCACTGTACAAAATGTACAGTTGATTTTCTCAAATTTCATAACCAAATACTACAGATTAACGAATATCTAAGACATGCCACTATTTGGTCATTTATAAGTTAGCCCACGGGCTGACTAGTTACGTTGGGATGAAACTGCAAGTGCGCTAGCGTGTGCCCCCCCCCCCCCCCCCCGTTTGAATTTTTTGTATGTAGAACTTATATGTTAATTATCCTAAAATCAAGGAAAAAACACCTCTTATTTGTAAGAATTCGTCAGCTTCCGCGGGTTCGCCCCCGAACCCCCATCAAGGCTTTGCTCTGGACCCACTGGGGTTTCAATACAGCCCCCAGACCCCCTGCCTTCTACTGCACCCTCCCGTCATGAAATTCCTGGATCCGCCACTGATAATTCTAGGAAATTTATTTAAAAGAAATTC